TGGAAGTGTTTGAGTCAGGATTGGAGACCAGAATCCTGATCTGGTCTTTGGTTCAGTTTTATGGTCATGGATATGAAGGCATCTTGAGTTGCAGCTGATGTGCTACAGTTGGATCTGGCTTAATTTGCCCCTAAATTTCCAAATTATTAGGATTTGGGATGGGGGTTTTTTGGCCTGTTTTTGTTGGTTTTTTTTTTTTTGCATGCAACTGTATGAAAACAAAGAATAATCTTTAAACTAATTAAAAAAAATAACCTGATGTCTCCTAGTCAGGAGAAGCAGGGGCCTGATGGAAAGGCAACCAGTAAGGTCCAGCAGTCAAGCATCTTTCCATATGCATCTGAAATGGCAAAAAACCCAAAATCCCATGCCTGGATGGCAGTAAAAACAATGGATATTTTTTTGCTCAGGGGCTGCACAGTCATGGTAATTCCACTGCTGCTTGGGAGGGCTGAGCAGGTGGTCTTTGGGTGCAGCCTCAAGGAGACAACTTTGCCCTTGGTTTGAATTTTGGTGCCATTTTAGGTGGTTCTCAGAGGGCTTCTGTTGTGGCCAAATGAGGCTCTTGTTCATCAGGGTTTAAAAAAAACCAAAACAACAAACCAACCTTGTTCAAACTCATGCTCCTCTGCTCTTTTGTGTGGTTTTGTTGTGGTTTTTTTCCATGAAACCAGGCATGGTGGATTGATTTTGAAAGTTTTAGGTGTGGAACTGGGGACTTTCACCCACCATGCTCTGCCCTTCATCTCACTTTGATGCTGCTTTCCTCTCTCCAAGGCTGAGCTTCATTCAGAATCACAGAATCATTTTGGTTGGAAAAGACCTTGAAGACCATCAAGTCCAACCATTATTTGTGTCTTTTCCCCTGGTTTTTTGGCTGCCCAGCTTGTGTGTGCATGAGGGGGAGAAGCAGGATGGGGAAAGTGCTCTTTTACCAATTAGAATCGTTTGTTTCCAGCTGGTTGATTAACAAAGCTGGAAAATCTTGGCCTGGGAGGTGCCTTCTTTGAAGCAACTTGGACTAGAGGCACCAGAGCAGGAGGTTTGTTAGTGGCTTGGCTTCTGCTGTGCTGTCCCGTGGTGGTGACAAGGGACATTGAGCTGACCTGTGAGCATCCCAGGCTGACCCAGATGCATTCAAGGATAACTCCTTGCCATGGGGCTGTGGCTCATCCTGCTTCTTGGGACCTGGGAAAGAGAGCAGGTAGAGTCTGCCCTTAATTGCCATGGTGGGGAATTGAGCCTCAGGATGACAATAACCCTTCTGCTGGAAAGGTTGGGAGGTGGTGGAGCACCAGAATCCTCTTTGTGGGTGACTCAGGAGTGGTTTTTGCTTCCAAGAGGCTCATTGCTCTTTACAATTGCCTGAAAGGAGGTTGTAAGGGGATGGGAATTGGCTTCTTCTCTCAAGTAAATAATGACAGGACGAGAGGAAGTGGCCTGAAGTTGCACCAGGGGAGGTTTAGACTGGATATTAGAATTTCTTTACCCAAAGAGTGGTTGGACAGTGGAACAGGTTGCCCAGGCAGATGGTGGAGTCACCATCCCTGGAAGTGTTTAGAAGAAATGTTGATGTGGTGCTGAGGGAAATGATTTAAGCACTGAACGGGTAGATTTAGGTTATGGTTGGACTGGATGTTCTTCAAGGTCTTTTCCAACCATGATGATTCTGTGATTCTGTAATTGATAGTAAGAACAACAAGGAAAAGCATGTTTATGGAACTGCATTTTGGAGAGCTCATGGGAGTGCAAGTGGAAACCACAGCTGATGAGTTGGGCCTTGTTGCTTGCCTTGGAGGAGGGAAGATGAGCTTGAGCTTTGGGTCTCCCTGCCTGGTCTCTTTGTGCATCCCTGGTGGCCAGACATGTTCCTGAGAACTGGCTACTACCTTGTGTTTCACCTAGGGAAGAAGTACCTGTGCCTTCCCCTTGTCCTTGCTTTGAAATAGCAGTAGCAAGGAGGTAATTTATTTATTTTTGTAAAAGTGGGGATGCAGGAAGCAAGTCCTGTCTGCTGGCAGATGAGCAGTTGGTGCCTGGTGACCTTGCACCATGAAGTGCCTTGTGTTGCCTGTGGAAAGGACACTGGCCATCACCTCCTAGCAGGTCCATAGCACAGTGCCTGCTGCTTCTCCGTGTCAGTTTTCCTGGTTCCCAGCCTAGCCTGGATATTCAGCTTATTTTTTTTTCCCAGAAGAAGGCTGGGAGGATAAAGCAACTTCCCTTCTTGCAGAAAACATTCAGAAAGCCCCAAGGCTTTTTTTTTTCATACACTTGTTTTCAAGTTTCATGAGGCTGGAAAAGCTCTTCTTCCCTTCCTGGGTTACAGCACCTCTGGTAGGATTTGTGTCTCTGTACCAAGAGGTACAGCTGTTGGCTCTCAGCATTTGAAGGACTGGTCAGCAGCTCTGTATAGTAAAAATAGTGATTTTTTTGGTTTTATTTGATGGCTCTGGACCTTACTGTGCAGTTCCATGGGGGACTGAGTCAGAGCTTGTCCTGACCCTGCTCGCATGGTCCTGCCCTTGCCTTGGGGCTTGTCTGCCCACAGAACAAACAGGTTCAGGCAACACCAGCACCTGGAAATGAATCCCTTATGGAAGGCTGAGACTTTTGGCACCCTTGGCTCCCCCGTCAGAGGGTTGCAGCATCAGGTGTGGGAACAGGATTGGGGCAGGATGGGTTTGAGCTGCTGAGATGTGTCCAGAGCAGAGTGTTGCTGAGGTTGCACCAGGCAAGGATCAGGGCAGGAGACCAATGATGTACCTGAGGCAAACAGCTTCTCAAGCTAAAGATAAGGAAAAACTCCTTTCCTGTGAGGGTAACAGAGCCCTGGGACAGGCTGCCCAGAGAGCTTGTGGAGTCTCCTTCTTTGGAGACTTTCAAAACACATCTGAACATGTTCCTGTGTGATCACTATAGATGATCCTGCTCTAGCACATGATCTTCAGAGGTCTCTTCCAAAAGTGACTATTCTGTGCTTGTGACTGTAAGGACCAGCTTCCTGAGAGTCTCTGCAGCTTTGCAAATTTAAATCTTCTAAAATAACATTTATATACTGCACATTCAAACCTGTGATCTCTTTCTTCCCTGTGCCTTGTGCTGTCAGTTGCACCTTTGTAAAGTGGGTGTAAAACCACAGAATCCCAGACTGGTTTGGGTTGGAAGGAACCTAAAAGATCATCCAGTTCCAACGCCCTGCATGGGCAGGGACACCTCCCACCAGCCCAGGCTGCTCCAAGCCCCATCCAACCTGCCCTTCAACACTGCCAGGGATGGGGCAGCCACAGCTTCTCTGGGCAACCTGGGCCAGGGTCTCACCACCCTCACAGCAAAGAATTTCTTTCTAAGATCATAATCTCCCCTCTTCCAGTTTTGATCCATTCCCCCTCATCCCATCCGTCCCTGCCCTTGTCCCAAGCCCCTCCCCAGCTTTCCTGCAGCCCCTTCAGGCACTGGAAGCTGCTCTAAGGTCTCCCTGGAGCCTTCTCTTCTCCAGGCTGAACACCCCAACTCTCTCAGCCTGTCTCCAGAGCAGAGCTGCTCCAGCCCCTGGATCCCCTTTGTGGTCTCCTGGGCTGTCTCCAGGAGCTCCATGTATTTCTTCTGTTGAGGGCTCCAGCACTGGACCCAGCCCTGCAGGGAGGTCTCAGCAGAGCAGAGGGGACAATCCCCTCCCTGGCCCTGCTGGCCACACTCTTTTTGATGCAGTCCAGGACACGGGTGGTTTTTGGGCTCCAGCACATGGTGCTGACTCATGTTGAGCTTCTCATCCACCATCATACCCAGGTCCTCCTCCTTCAGGCTGTTTTTGATCCATTCTCCCCCCAGCCAGTATCTGTGCTTGGGATTGCCCTGACGCAGGTACAGGCCCTTGCACTTGGCCTGGTTGAACTTCATGCAGTTTGCACGAGCCCACTTCCCAAGCCTGTCAAGGTCCCTCTGAATGATGTCCCCTCCCTCCAGCATGTCGACTTTACCACACAGCTTGGTGTCCCCAGCAAACCTGCTGAAGCTGCACTGATACTCTGTTTAATTCTATTGAATACTGTGGTTTTTTTTCTTACCATGAAATGCCTTTTACAACCATTTAAATTTAAACACCCCCCCCCACCTCCTGTTCTAGTTCTAACTGTGTCCTGCTCTGAATTCTGCTGCTTGGGGTGGGCAGTGGGAGAGGGACATGGTAGGTGGGAGCACTTGGGATGACGTGACAGGGACTGAGTGAGTCACCCATTAGTCATATCACTCCTGCACCACTGGCAGGAGGGATGTGGAGGACAGTGGCATCTGCAGAGATCTTCATCTCAAAAAGAAAAGCAAGGCAGCAAAATGTCAAGCTCACAGAAGCTAGAAAGTACCAGGATTAGTGTTAATTAAATCAACGCTAATTAAAAACCACCAGGCTTTTTTTTTTTCTCCTCCCTCCCCCCGAAGTGATGTGAAGCTACTTGGTTGTGGGTTTTTTTTTTCTTTTTTTAGTGCAGAACATGGGAAAATAACAGCAGAGAGTTTTGTATGCAGCTGAGAACGGGGTGTTGCCAGGGGAGGTGGTGGACATTCCTGGGAGCTGCCATGGGAGAAGGAATTGTGCCTGAGCAAGGAGGCAGTGTTAGTGCTGTTTCTCTGTGCTCCATAGTCTCAGCAAAGGAGAACCAGCATGTTTCCTAAAGTGATGCCAGGCTGTGATTAAATGCCATCCTGCTGCTGGATCCATAGCCCAGGCCTTTATTTAGAGCAGGTTTCTGTTGCAAATGGAGAAAGAGCTTTTCCTGCATGGGGCTGGAGAAGACCCAGGGCAAAGGGGTCCTAATAATCCAGAGTGTCTGGAGATCTGTGACCTGGGTCCTTTCTGCATCCACAATGGGCTGCAAATTCTGCTGGGGAGAAGCCAAGGGAGAGAGAGCAGCATCAGACCAGGCTGCCCCATGTCTGTTTGTCCTTCACAGAATCACAGAATGGTTGGGGTTGGAAGGCACCTCTGGAGATCATCTAGTTCAATGTCCTTGCCAGAGCAGGGTCCCCTAGTGCAGATCCCAGAGGAACACATCCAGGTGGGTTTGGAATGTCTCCAGGAATGGAGGCTCCACAACCTCCCTGGGCATCTTGTTCCAGTGCTCTGGTACCCTCAGGACACCCAGGTGAGAGTCCAGGCTGCACTGAGGCAGCTCTGGTGCTCAGCCTACATCTGCATCCTGGAAAGAATCCAGGGTGGTGTTGGAGTGATGAGGTACCTGTATGCATATCAATATTGCATGGTCCTGTGCTTTGGGCTTGCCTAAAGTCAGTTTTTTGTTTGTATTTATTTTCTGAACACTGAGTCAAAACTGCTCTCTGTTCCTTTGGAGCTGCCCATGACCTTCCCAGCCTTTCTCCCAGACACCTTGCCCTTTCTTTCAGACTTTGTTCCCAGTTCTCTGGATCCCTTTCTGGTCCTTCAGACACTTTGGCTGCTCCCAGCAAAAGCATCTTCACCAGCTTTTGCTCCGTGTTATCCCTCCACCAGCACATCTAGGTGGGATTTTTCCAAACGTGCAGCTAAGACTAAGCCCAAACCATAAAGTTATGGTTTCTTTGACATACATTAAGGTTCACAGTCATCATAGAATCCCAGACTGGTTTGGGTTGAAAGGGACCTAAGGATCATCTAGATCCACCCCCCTGCATGGGCAGGGACACCTCCCACTAGACCAGGTTGCTCAGTCCATCTGTTTTGGGGTTGTGCAGGGCCAGGCACAGTGTTGGACACTTTCAAGGTGCAGCTGGATAGGGTGGTGGACCTTCTTGTCTAGACCATGGTTTTGCCATGAAAGGTTGGACCAGTTGAGGTCCTTCCCAGCTGGTATTCCATAGTTCTATGACAATGAATCCCAGCCCTAGGTAGGGCCTGGACTGCAATGAATGTAAGACACAGAACTGGGTTTGTTCTTAGTCTTATCTTTTCCCTTTCTCATCCTTCCCCTCAAGGAGAAAAACACTTGTTTCATTGTTGAGACTTTCAACTCTTTTTAGACCATTTGAAAAGATCATTTCACATACCTTTCTCCCCCTCTCCCCCAGCAGAATATGGGTGCAGGAGTTCCTTCACACTCATCTGTGCCCAGAATCTGTGAGCCTGTGGTGCTGCTGGTCCCTGGGGATGGTGGGGACAAGGCCAAGCAGCACAGGGAGGGTGTTACAGACATTGCAGGGTGGGAATTCCTTGACAGCATCACTTGACATGGGAGGTCTGGAGTTGTACATTGGGTTTTGGTGGTCTGATGCATCTCCCAGGAGTCCCCCCCCCCCAAAAAAAAGACGTATTGCCTCCTTAGCCCCCCCTTAGGGAAGTCCAGGATATTTTAGCACCCTGATGTTATGGTAGCAGCCCTTTATTAAAGCATCTGTATCTGTGTCCTGCCAATAGCAGTGCTGCTGTTAACAGTGTCCCAACTCCTGTCACAAACTACCAGGGAACAGCTTCTATATTATTTCTTTTTAATTGCAACTTTAGCTCTGCAGAGGAAAGAAGAGCTTTCTCTGCAGCAGGTGAAACACAATTTCTAACTGAACCCATTTTTTTGGGGTTTTTTTTCTGTCTTCCAGACTTCATTTTATGGCAGATTCAGGCACTTCTTGGACATCATTGATCCACGCACTCTCTTTGTGACTGAGGTAATGTCCACACACCTTTTTTTCCTTCAAGTACTGTTTATTACGTGGGTTGGGATGAAAAACAATCTCTTCTGTGAGCAGCAGAGGTAATGAAGCTGGGTTGTCAGTGGATTTGTGTCTCACAGCTGATCGATTGCCCAGCTGAGCTCTGTTAAAGCTGCAGCAGGACTTGCTCTTTAGTAGACATCAGTGAATCCACACCTGTCAGCCTCTCACCTCCCTCTGGTAGCTGGTGAGACCCTGAGCTGGTTTCAGCCAAGCTTGCTAGTGCTGCTGCCTTCTCAGAAGGAAAATTGCTGCCAGGAAAAGAAATAAATCAACAAACAAAACCAAATGCAGGTGAGTAGATCAGGGAGCAAATATTGATGGAAATGAGCTGGGTGGGCTCACAATGCAGGTTGTCATTTCTTCAAGATGAGCTTTTCTGAGCAAGGAGTTGTAGTTTTCCCTTCATTATTACCCTGTTTGCAACAGGCTTTTGTGTTTCTGGCCTGTTTCTGTCTCATTTAGGCTTGTTCAGTGTTACTGCCTTTCCCTGCTTTCATAAAATAGTCAGGTAATAGTTCTTTCTTGAGAAAAAAGATTTCTACTAATGATACTAAATTCTGCCTCTTGGCCAGAAAACAGGGGTTTGCTTTCAGTGGAGGGCACCTGTCTTTCCCTTTTTCCTTTTTTCTCTTTTTAGTCTTTGCTTTTTCAGGTGGGATGGTTTAAGGTGAAAATAAATCTGCAAACAATTCTGAAACTAACAGGGAGCTGAACTGCTCACTGGAGCTAATGGTGAACTGAGCCCAGGTCCTCACACATTGTGGTGGCTGGGGAGGAGGGCCCCAAAAAGACATTGAATAATCTCTTCCTTCTAAATCTACCAGCTTTTTTCAAAATCATGAGGCCACAGTGTATAATGTCATTCATTGTGAGCACCTCTTGGATGAGAACCCAACAGAACCACAGACAGTAAATTGGCTGGTTTTCACCATTATGTTGGAGATGATACTTCCCCTTGTGAAGTGCAGGGTCAGGCCAAGGCTGAGATCAGTTTTCAAAAGCCACTGGCCTTGATATGGAGCTCAGCCTGGAGAGGTGACCTGGAGAACATCTCCGTTTCAAAGAGGCTGTTGGCCACCATTGTATCATAGAATCACAGAATCCCAGACTGGTTTGGGTTGGAAGGGATGTTAAAGACCGTCTAGGTCCAACCCCCCTGGGTCCAAGCCCCATCCAACCTGCCCTTGAACTCTTCCAGGGATGGGGCAGCCACAGCTTCTCTGGGCAACCTGGGCCAGGGTCTCACCTCCCTCACAGGAGAGGATTTCCTCCTCATGTCTCATCTAAATCTCCCCTCTTCCAGTTTAAAACCCTTCCCCCTCATCCCATCCCTCCCTGCCCTTGTCCCAAGCCCCTCCCCAGCTTTCCTGGAGCCCCTTCAGGCACTGGAAGCTGCTCTAAGGTCTCCCTGGAGCCTTCTCTTCTCCAGGCTGAACAATCCCAACTCTCCCAGCCTGGCTCCAGCCCTTTGAGCATCTGTGTGGCCTCTTCTTGACTCTCTCCAGGAGCCCCATGTTTTGCATGGGCATTTGCTAATTGCTGCCAGGAAAAGAAATAAATCAACAAACAAAACCAAATGCAGGTGAGTAGATCAGGGAGCAAATATTGATGGAAATGAGCTGGGTGGGCTCACAATGCAGGTTGTCATTTCTTCAAGATGAGCTTTTCTGAGCAAGGAGTTGTAGTTTTCCCTTCATTATTACCCTGTTTGCAACAGGCTTTTGTGTTTCTGGCCTGTTTCTGTCTCATTTAGGCTTGTTCAGTGTTACTGCCTTTCCCTGCTTTCATAAAATAGTCAGGTAATAGTTCTTTCTTGAGAAAAAAGATTTCTACTAATGATACTAAATTCTGCCTCTTGGCCAGAAAACAGGGGTTTGCTTTCAGTGGAGGGCACCTGTCTTTCCCTTTTTCCTTTTTTCTCTTTTTAGTCTTTGCTTTTTCAGGTGGGATGGTTTAAGGTGAAAATAAATCTGCAAACAATTCTGAAACTAACAGGGAGCTGAACTGCTCACTGGAGCTAGTGGTGAACTGAGCCCAGGTCCTCACACATTGTGGTGGCTGGGGAGGAGGGCCCCAAAAAGACATTGAATAATCTCTTCCTTCTAAATCTACCAGCTTTTTTCAAAATCATGAGGCCACAGTGTATAATGTCATTCATTGTGAGCACCTCTTGGATGAGAACCCAACAGAACCACAGACAGTAAATTGGCTGGTTTTCACCATTATGTTGGAGATGATACTTCCCCTTGTGAAGTGCAGGGTCAGGCCAAGGCTGAGATCAGTTTTCAAAAGCCACTGGCCTTGATATGGAGCTCAGCCTGGAGAGGTGACCTGGAGAACATCTCCGTTTCAAAGAGGCTGTTGGCCACCATTGTATCATAGAATCACAGAATCCCAGACTGGTTTGGGTTGGAAGGGATGTTAAAGACCGTCTAGGTCCAACCCCCCTGGGTCCAAGCCCCATCCAACCTGCCCTTGAACTCTTCCAGGGATGGGGCAGCCACAGCTTCTCTGGGCAACCTGGGCCAGGGTCTCATCTCCCTCACAGGAGAGGATTTCCTCCTCATGTCTCATCTAAATCTCCCCTCTTCCAGTTTAAAACCCTTCCCCCTCATCCCATCCCTCCCTGCCCTTGTCCCAAGCCCCTCCCCAGCTTTCCTGGAGCCCCTTCAGGCACTGGAAGCTGCTCTAAGGTCTCCCTGGAGCCTTCTCTTCTCCAGGCTGAACAATCCCAACTCTCCCAGCCTGGCTCCAGCCCTTTGAGCATCTGTGTGGCCTCTTCTTGACTCTCTCCAGGAGCCCCATGTTTTGCATGGGCATTTGCTCCAATATTGCATGTAATCTCTAAAGAGAAGGTTTTCCTGTGTGCTAATTCAGATCATATATGCAATAACTTTTTTTGGCAGCTACAAATTTGCAAACTTTTTCAATAAGCAGGAAATATGTCATTTCAGAGGTCAAGCCCAACAGGTCCTGTCCCTGAGACCATGAGAAGCCCTTCAGTGGGTGTGATGCCTATTTTCAAAACGCCTGAGGTTCAAATGATTGGAATAATACTTTTAATTGCTCTCTAATGAGGGTCCATCAGGAGAAGCAGCAGGGCCCAGCAGCCAGGTTTGTCAGGCTAACTTAGCCCATCTGACATGAGCCTGGACAGGCTCTGTGGGAAGCTCTTCCTGGAAAAAGCTGTGGATCTGAAAAGAATTCCAAGGAAAAGTGAAATAAGAGTGGAGCTGAGCTCGGAGGGGCTGTGTGTTCTCTGCCTTTGCCTCATGTCATTGTTCAGAGCACTGAGCATCTTGCATTCCCATATTTGGGTTTAAAATGGAAGCAGGATTAGATGTATGTTATTTATATGAACGATACCTTCTTACTCAGCAGATTGACTGTCTGTGTTTATTCAGTGTCACATCTGCTGGCTCTACTTGAACAAAAAGTTTCTGGCTCCTGTTGTCTGTCACTGTAGATCCAATACAATGGGGCCAGCTGGAGTCAAGTCTGCCGTATGGATCATCCCTGGAGAGACAAAATCAGGAGCTGTTGAGGCTCTGATGCCAGAGCACAGCTGGATTTCCCTATCCCACCTCGAGTTTGTGGTGCTGGGGGCCAGAAGACTCTTCCTTTGGATCATGTGCCAGGAAGTCTTCATTAGTCTGAACCTAAAACTGGTGAAACTCACAGTGGATCATCACTGAGCTGGTGCTCTCCCAGAGCCCTGGGACAAGCCCTGAATGAGCAGAGGGAGACACAAACTGCTCCAGAGTGCCCTGTCCCATCAGTGGATTTTCTCTTAAAAGCCTCAAATGCAAAACTTGACTCTTTTTTTTTTTTTTCCCCCTGCTGACTCTGTAGCAGTAACTCTACTTGAACAAAAAGTTTCTGGCTCCTGTTGTCTGTCACTGTAGATCCAATACAATGGGGCCAGCTGGAGTCAAGTCTGCCGTATGGATCATCCCTGGAGAGACAAAATCAGGAGCTGTTGAGGCTCTGATGCCAGAGCACAGCTGGATTTCCCTATCCCACCTCGAGTTTGTGGTGCTGGGGGCCAGAAGACTCTTCCTTTGGATCATGTGCCAGGAAGTCTTCATTAGTCTGAACCTAAAACTGGTGAAACTCACAGTGGATCATCACTGAGCTGGTGCTCTCCCAGAGCCCTGGGGCAAGCCCTGAATGAGCAGAGGGAGACACAAACTGCTCCAGAGTGACCTGTCCCATCAGTGGATTTTCTCTTAAAAGCCTCAAATGCAAAATTTGACTCTTTTTTTTTTTTTTTCCCCCTGCTGACTCTGTAGCAGTAACGTTGTGGTGCTGCTGGCACAATGACTGCTATTATGGTCTGTATGTGTACATATGGGTTTCTGGAGGCAGCTCCGAGCCATGTGCAGGCACCAGTTGAGATCCAAGAGAAGACAAGAGACAGATCTCTGAGACAGAAGCAATGTGCCCTTGAGCAAGGAGGACAAGGTGAACAGTCAATACAAGAGCTCACATGCTGGAAGGAGGTGTCTGATGCATGCAGAGTCACCTATGGGAACCAGTGTGGTTGTCCTCTGTCCCACCAGGGTGCTGGATTAATCACAGATCCCAGACTGGTTTGGGTTGGAAGGCACCTTCAAGATCATCCAGTCCCAACCCCCCTGCATGGGCAGGGACACCTCCCAGCAGCCCAGGTTGCTCCAAGCCCCATCCAACCTGCCCTTCAACACTGCCAGGGATGGGGCAGCCACAGCTTCTCTGGGCAACCTGGGCCAGCATCTCACCACCCTCACAGCAAAGAATTTCTTTCTAAGTTCCCATCTCCATCTCCCCTCTTCCAGTTTTAATCCTTTTCCCCCTTGTCCTCTCACTACAAGCCCTTGTCAAAAGTCCCTCCCCAGCTTTCCTGTGAGCCCCAGGTCGTGAGGGACTCGGGGCCCCCATGAAGGTTTCCTGGAGCTTGCCATCAGCTCAGTGTGATGTGGGCAACTGGCATCTCTGGTTTTGTTCTTTCTCCTCCTTTCTTTGACCAAACAAAGCTTCTAATAACATGATTCTTCAGCAACTCTTTCTACACAGACCAAGACATTCTGCTGATGTAGTCCTGCAGGTGTACTCCAGGGAACAACCTTCTGAGTCAACTCCTGTTGTCCTGAGTCAAGGCAGAACAGGTTAGATCAGCTCTTTGGATTAAAACCTCTGGGTTCCATCTAAGCCAGTTCAACCAAACCAAGTCAGATAGTGGTTTTTGGGCTGTGCAACCAGCTGATGTGCCTTGTGCCATGCAGCTGAGCACTCTTGCTCCCCAAAGGGGGTCTCCTAGCAGCTGTCCTGGCCCCATGGTGACTGGGAATCATTTGGCAGAGAGCTGGATGGTCTGAATCCAAACCATTCCAGAGGTCACGCTGATGCAGGCTCATCCTTGCTCCATCTCATTTAATAGCACAGCCATAACCATAAAACCCAGGCTCATGGATCATTGGTGGCCTATCACTCACCTCTCATGGGCTGTAGTTCAAACCCCAGGTGTTTTCCAGCTGTCTTCAGCAGAAGATTGAGCCTTTTTCCAAAGACTTGTTGCTTTTGGGTGATGTTTCCCAGGTGGACATGGCTTAGGCTGCAGTTGTGGAGCAGAGTTGGAGCTTCGGAATCACGGAGCTTGGTAGATTCCTGGCACTGCTGCTGGGCTTGGGTTTGTAAGAACATCCTCTGGGTGCAGATGGTCTGTCTAGCACCCTATTGTGAGAGCTGAGACCTCATCATCCACCACTAGAAGTGCTCTAGTTTTGGTGAGAACAGGGGTATGAAAGCAGCAACGTGTGCGAGGAAAAGCTGGGGCTGCCTTTTCTTGGGGTGGTTTTTTTTTTGAGGGATGCTGTAAAAACTCCAGTGACACTTCTTCCTACAGAGAGCAGAGGGAAATCAGGCAACAACAAATATTGAAACAGTAGCACAACCCTGCAGACAGACCTCTCTTTTCCCTCCTGTTAAAATGGAAATGAGGTGTCATCTTTGACATGACCCACTCTCGCAGCAGCGCTGTATCCTTCTAAAAACCAGCGAGTGGAGCTGGGTGGCATTTGGAGCTGTTATTTTCTATTTTTTGGAGGTTCATTTTTAAAGAACGTGATTCACTTCTCTAGGAGGAATGAAAGACAAGCCTGTGCTGTCACTGATGACAATTCCAAGCTGTGGGTCACTCAGTAAAACCACCTGAACACCTCCAAGCCATGTGAAAGGCACCTTCTTAACGTGGTCCTGGCATTTTAACACTTTTGTTCCCTTTCTGTGCCACCCTTTTGTCAACCACCAGCAGTGAGTGTTGGTCTGGGACTCTTTTCTTGGAGAAAAGTTCCCCTCTCTCCCCGTGGAGCTGAAAGAGGAAATTCATGAAGGCTGCAGTTTTAAAAGCAAAATCAGAGCTTTTTTGTTTTCTGTTTGTTACCACACTAAATAAGATGGGATCTGGCCAGGGTTGTTATAGTAACTACTAAGATTTCCTCAAGAGAAGGAGAAAAAAATAGAACACAGACCCATTCATCTATTCCTTCCAGTTTTTCATTCAGAGTTACATGCTGTTCTGTGTAGATAATTTGCAAGACACACAGTGTAGGTAATCTTGGTGACAAAAACACATACCAGTAATGAGCACAAATGGTTCTCCAGAAGGTTGTCCTGGCACTCCTGGCTTCTTTTCTAGCCTTTGGAGGCAGGAAGGGTTGTCCTCCCTAGATGCCCAGCCATTAGTTGTTCTGCTGCTTGGCTGCTTGGCTTTTCACCTCTGGATTATTGGGCTGTCTACAATATTACACAATTATACATGCTGGGCAATAACTTTTCCCTAATCTGATATTTTTAAACAACCACGAGGCTGACAGGGCAAGGAGCTATCAAGAACAACTTCAAGAAGCTCAAGTGCTACTGTGACCTCATATGATTACTTCACAGGTTGGAAATGCCTCAAACAACCAACAAATCCTATTTGTTTCCCATGCCTCCAGTGCTTTGTAGTTTTCCAGTGATCAACCAACACTCTTAACTGGTCTTTCTTGTAATAGGTCATTCCAGCTACAGAGCCCCGAGGGTCTTGCAGAAATCTGAGCCTGCCCAGGTCATGTGTTTGTGCTGTTGGGACCTCAGGGTCAGCTTTTCTTCTTGTTCAGCCTGGAGAAGAGAAGGTTCCAGGGAGACCTTAGAGCACCTTCCAGTGCCTGAAGGGGCTCCAGGAAAGCTGGGGAGAGACTTGGGACAAGGGCAGGGAGGGATGGGATGAGGGGCAAGGGTTTTGAGCTGGAAGAGGGAGCTGGAGATGAGGCTGTGAGGCTGTTGAGCGCCTGGCCAAGGTTGCCCGGGGAAGCTGTGTCTGCCCCATCCCTGGCAGTGTTGAAGGGCAGGTTGGATGGGGCTTGGAGCAGCCTGGGCTGGTGGGAGGTGTCCCTGCCCATGCAGGGGGGTTGGATCTATATGAACTTGAAGGTCCCTTCCAAACCAGACTGGGGTTCTATGACTAACACCCAACACAAACAAGCCCTATCTCTTAGCCCACATTTTTCCAGGAATATGCAGGTTTTTGCAGCCATCCCTCCTGCCTCGTGCTGAACCTCACTTGGCCTTTGTGTGCAGACTCTCTGGTTCTGTGGAGCAGCTGCTGATCAGCACAGGAACACAGAAAACCTATCAATGGAAATACCATGGAGATGATGTGAGCTCAGCCCGGGTACGAGCGGCCGTGGATCCGATCCCAGCCCGCTGGGCTCTGCGCTGTGAAGGAATCGCTGCTGTTCCTTCTGTCCCGTGTGTGGAATGTTTGAGGGACAATAGTTACTCATTAACTGCAGCTTTCAGGTTGCAGCAACTGCTGGTGCTTCCAAGGAAACAACCAAGTACTCTTTGATGTTGGGATGAAAGGCAGCAAAGTGGTTTCCCTGCAACCGATCCCATGGCCGCGGGCTCGTAATGAGCGCTGGGACACTCGCCCTGTTTGCAGGAGGGTTGTGAGAGCAGAGCTGGCAGCCACCACCAGGAGCCTTGACATGACTGCACTGCAACCTCAGGGCTTCCCACAAGCCACCATCCTGTTATTTTCAGCCGAATATTCTGTAGTTCTGAGAACTCCTCCTGCACGAGGATGGGAAGGGCTGCCAGCACAGCAGAGCTAATGCAGAAATGTCAAACCCAAGTCAGTGTTACTCATCTGGATGACAGAAAACCTGCAGGAGGCTTCTGAAGATGTTTAGCTGAGTGATTTGTTTGGCTTCAAATATTTGGGAGCCATTACTGGGTGATCTCGTGCTTTCTGCAGGCTTGGATTTTATACCAGCAGAGCCACTTGTACCCTGACTTGTTCCTCTTTAGCTTGGACTGATCTTTCTACCTGTCTGCTTCTGCCCTGGGGATTTTATTTCAAGAAATATGTATATATATAATGTAAAGTATACCTATATATATATCCTCTATATAATATAGTGCATATGTATGCACACAATGTGTGTATTTTAAAAAATCCTTATATATTTATTGAAATTAAAATATATATAGTTCTTGAAAGTGTTCTGCATATGAAAACTTCACTTCAGCTGCAGAACACTTATTAAATATCTCTCTTATCTGTTAACAATTCTGAGAGTAAATTGATTATTCTGACAGACTGATAGTGTGGGTTAAGGCTCCTGTGCTCCCTTGAGCACATGAAGTGTGTTTATTTTTCTAATTAATCACAAAGTGAGGAAGATCTTTATTTACACACGTGGGTATTTGAATGGTGATGGTTGGGTTCTTGCTTTAACTAGTGACTGACTTGGGTATTTTTGGAGGGCACGTAACTGGTTTCAAAAGCCCTCTTGAGTGTGTAAAGCAGCTGTGCAGGTCAGTGGTTCCATGTGGTGGCACTCTGGGATCCTCCTGAAATGCATGGGAACGTGGTGGTGTTCCAGGTTCATCAGCTGGGCCTGGGCTGCAGGCACTGGTTACCCAGGGCTGCTGCCTGAAAGCTGTGGGGAGCTGCTCTCCTGGCTGGAACATGATGAATTGTGACTCTTTAGTGGCCACTGAGCTCTCAGAGGTGATGCTGAATGTGTGCAGGCTCCTACCTTGCCTCTCCTTTCAGCTGTACCTCCCCAGTGCATGGACTGGGAGAGGGCATGGGAGCCAAGGCAGGTCTTAGAATCATCAGATTGTTTTGGTTGGAAAAGAACTTTCAGATCATCAAGTCCCACCCTCAACCCAGCCCTGCCAAGGCCACCACTAACCCATGTCCCTCAGCACCACATCTACAGGCCTTTGAAATCCCTCCAGGGTAAAGGGACCCACCATGAGGCTGGCACCAAAAAAAAGGTGTAAATCATAGAATCATAGAATAGTTTGGGTTGGAAGGAACCCAAACCATTCTGAGATTCTATGAAGTGTACCTTCTTTCTGGGAAATGATATGATGTATCATTATCTAGAATATATGTCATATAGTGTAGTGTATAATATATAATTCTGTAACTTGAGTTCTTTGCCTTCAAGAACATGATTTGGTGCAGGACAAGTGTTGCAGACCACGCTCCTGTTGTGTTTGCAGAGTCGTCTGAAGGAAGCTGTGCAGTTGTTGGAGGATTACAAGCATGGGACTCTGCCCCCAGGAGTCACCAACAAAGAGGTAAGAGGAAAAACCCTTTTCTTACATTTCTGCTCCTTCTTTAGGCTGTGTCTGCAGTCAATGCATGACTGCAGGGCTTGTTTTTGTTGGTGTTTCTACTGGTAAAGTCTCATGTGGGGTCTGTTCAGTCAGTTGCTGACTCCTGCAGTGTTGCTTCTGGTCCCTTGCAGTGTGTTCTAGTGAATTTGGGGTGGTCTGAAGTTATTTCTTGATGTTGTTAATAACCTTGGTGAGCAGAAGTGAGGTTTGCAATATAAACACGTTGTTTTATTTAGCATAAGTGCAAAGTTTGTGGTTTCTGACTTGCAGAGCTCTTGATCACCTTTGACCAATGTTATTATTGCCTCCCTTTCCCTTGGAAAGTGAGCTTGTGAAGTTAGAAAAAAACCCCAAAAAACAAAAGCAAAACAAGTAATTTTTTTTTTTTTTTAGCTGAAGGAAACCTTACTGTCAGTCCTGTAGGTTCTTGTACCAGCAACTGTGCTGCACCAGCCCCCTCTCCTGCTGTGTTTGTTCCTTTTGGTATAATAATGGCTGTTTCTTATAGAATCATAGAATGGTAAAGCTTGGAAAGGACCTTAAAGATCATCTGCTATAAGCAGTGACACCTCTCACCAGACCAGGCTGCACAAGCCTCATCCAGCCTGCCCTTGAACACCTCCAGGGATGGGGCATCAACAACCTCCCTGGGCAACCTGTTCCAGTGCCTTCCTACCCTCATGGTGAAGAATTTCTTCCTGATGCCAGACCTCAATCTCCCCTCTTTCAGTTTAAACCATTACTCCTTGTCCTATCACTATCTTCTCTGGTGAAAAGCCCCTCCCCAACTTTCCTGTACTGGAGGGGGCTCTAAGGTCTCCCTGGAGCCTTCTCTTCTCCAGGAGGAACACCCCAACTCTCCCAGCCTGTCTCCAGAGCAGAGCTGCTCCAGCCCAAGGATCATCTTGGTGGCCTCCTCTGGACTCACCATCAGCTCCATGTCTCTCCAGTGCTGAGGGCTCCAGGGCTGCACACAGCACTCCAGGTGGGGTCTCAGCAGAGCAGAAGGGCAGAATCACTTCCCTGGCCCTGCTGGCCACACTTCTTTTGATTTCTTCATGGACATAAATGTTGTTTGGGCTGTGTGTAACCCCCTGGATGTCCTCGCGTTGTAGGTGGTGCCATCAGCAGTGATACTTTTTGTTGGGTGATGTTCCTACTGTTGGGGTGGAAGCTGAAGGAGGTTGTGGAAGCCCCACAGGTGGGAAGGTCTTAGCAGGGTTTAGGCAGTTGCTTAGAAAAGGGTCATTTTTTTTTATATAACTTGATTCTGCTCTGATAGGAGCTCATGAAGCTTGTGGAAGCTGAGATGAGCATTGCAGAGGAGCTGGGCTGCTCTTCGAGCCTTTTACCTCCTGACCAGTAGCATGAAACAAAAAATCCTCAGTTCTTTCCTCTTCCTTATCTGTCCATGTGCGGACACCTGACCATAACACAGACACAGGGGCTTTTCTGTGCTGTGTCTTTGTCCATCTGGCATAAAGGACTTCAATCCACTGTGGTGTAGTGTGATGTAAAGAACAGCAAGACTTGGCTGGCAGAGAAGCTTCAGGAGGTGTAAGAATCGACCAAAGGAGCAGTGCACCTCCCAAGTGAACAGTGATGGGAATGGTAGAGCTCCCCTCCCACATCCTGCAGGTCAAATAACCTCTTCTATTTATTTATTTCTTCTCAAGAAAGATGAGTGTGGCAGGTAAATGAAGACAATGAAAACTGACATTCAGTTTTGAAAGTGGCTACTTGTGTGGTGGGTGCTGCGGTGGGAAAGGGCCATGGCTTCACCACGAATAACTGGGAAACAAACATCCCCTGTTGCAGCACGAGGCATTGCTCTCCTGGCCTTTTCATGTCCCTGAATTCTTCCAGCCATGGTCTGGTGGTAAGAAAAAAGAAACCAGGGTTGAGGAGAGGAGAAGAGCAGAGAATGATGCAGCAGCAGATGACTCAGCTCCCATCTGCCTCCAGGCAGATGAAACACAAGCCATTTGCTGTGGCAAACCACGCAGACTTTTGACCTACATTTTGGGTTCGAGTAGTGACAGACCCAGGATTTACCCAGAGTTCATTCAGGATCAGATGGAGAGAGCAAAACCAAAAGCATCACGTCCCTCGTTGCCCTCAGTCAGGGCAAGGTAGGCAGGGGGTGAACCTTGTTCTGCAAGTTGCAGGGTTCTGGGTGTAAAATCAAGGTATGGGGTGGAGGAGGAGAGAGAAAGTGCTGCCAAAAATGCCTTACTTTGACAAATGTTATCACATCAGTGTAAAAAGTCTTTTTTTTGTGGTGAAGTCTTGACATGGTTGACTTTGATCATGGTGTCAATTATGTTAGAGGGGTTTAAGTTGTCCTGCTGACTGTGGGAGAAAGTAGCTGTCCCAGGAGGAGCCTGAGGTGGAATTGCAGCATGTGCTTGTTATTGTATTGAACTCTGCTTTGCTGCACTCATTAAACCAAACCACAGGGAGAGGTGAGCAAGCCCTGGTGAGATCCCAGCAGGGCTGTGAGACTTGAATGTTCAGCCAGGATGTCTCTAAAATGGGTGAAGATGGAAGGGACCTGAAAGCAGATGACAATCTGTCTGCCCAGGCTGCAGCAGGACAAGAGCAACCACGATTATCACACAGTGGTTTGGATGGGAAGGGAACTTTAAAGCTCATATAGTCCAGCCAGGGTAGGTACATCTTCTACTTGAGCAGGTTGCTCAGAGACACATCCAGCCTGGCCTGGAATGTTTCCAGGGATGGGGCATCTCCCACCTCTCTGGGCAACCTGGGCCAGGGTTTCACCACCCTCAGAGTTAAAAATGTCTTCCTATTATCCAGTCTGAATGTCCCCTCTTTCAGTTTAAACCATCACCCCTTGTCCTGTTGCTACAGGCTCTGCTAAAATGTTTGTCCCCATCTTTCTTATAGGCCTTCTTTAAGTATGAAGCAGCTGAAGCTGCCTGGTTAACCTGGAGAAAAGATCCATGAAACCAGCAGGTCCTTCTTCACTCTTGCAATGAAGTGGCAGGTGGAGCTGACAGGGGTGAATTGGCCCATAAAAGCCTCAAACACTGGGGCACTCCCGTGATCCATCTGGATGGAGGTGATTGGAACTTGTGACTGGGTTAACTGGGAGCTTCTCAGCAAGGTGTGGTGTGTTGGCAAGCTTCTGGGGCCATGATGGTGACATTCCTTGAGGGACACCTAAAAACCCCAGAGTCCTTTCTGTCTGTGTGTTCTTGAGTGGACTTGAATAAACTACTTGCCTGCCTATGGTTGCAATGAAGCAGGTGAGAATCTTCCCCAAGTGGTTGTTGCTTACCTTTTCTGAGGGCCTGATTATGGCCAAGGGAGAGAGTATCTCCATCCCCTCAAGCAGAGCCACCATTTTAGACACAAACTTCTCCTGTGGGAGGGCATTACTTTGTGGTTTTAAGCTGGGTCATTGAAACCTGCAATTAACCATTACAAGTGTGGATAATCTCGTGTGCTTTTCTCCTTGCATCAAAGGTGATCTGTGTAGTCTTTTATTTGGATTAGTTGGTTCCATCCCCTGGGGCACCTTCTTGTCATCCAGCTGGCATGGTATCCTTCTGCCTTTGTGTTTGCTGCTGTGCTGGGGTTGCTAAATAACAACCAACTTCCAGTTTTGCCATCGCTGGGCATTTCTACCAAAGAGCTGAAAGGTCCAAATGATCTGTATGAAAATGGGGGTTCCTGGGTGATATCAGGTGTTGGGTGCTTCTCATGTTGAGTAGCTGAATGCTCTCTTTTTTTTAATTTGAAATGGAGAGGAAGATCTAATAGGAAATCTAGAAGCAGGGCTGTGGTTGCTGTCTCTGTGTGGAGGACAGAGGGGTGGGTGCTGCTCTCCATGCATGCCATGAAACTTGCAGTCTGAGCACTGTTTGTTTTCTAACTCCAGGGGGAGAAGGGAAGGTGGAGAGGAGTGTGAGGGGAGATCTGGGGAGCTGAGGGCTGCATTAAATATGGGTGTTCCAGATACATACTCCAGATATATACAGCTCCAAGTTTCTAATTAATGATTGGTGAGTTTGCAGAACGAACAACGTGCTTGTTGATTGCTTTGGGGGAAGGGAATTACATAATCCCAGACTGGTTTGGGTTGGAAGGGACCTTCAAGATCATGCAGTTCCAGCCCCTCTGCATGGGCAGGGACACCTCCCACCAGCCCAGGTTGCTCCAAGCCCCATCCAACCTGCCCTTCAACACTGCCAGGGATGGGGCAGCCACAGCTTCCCTTGGCAGCCTGGGCCAGGCTCACCACCCTCACAGCAAAGAATTTCTTTCTAAGATCTCATCTCAGTCTTCCCTCTTCCAGTTTTAATCCATTCCCCCTCATCCCCTCCCTCCCTGCCCTTGTCCCAAGCCCCTCCCCAGCTTTCCTGGAGCCCCTTCAGGCACTGGAAGGTGCTCTAAGGTCTCCCTGGAGCCTTCTCTTCTCCAGGCTGAACATCCCAGCTCTCTCAGCCTGTCTCCAGAGCAGAGCTGCTCCAGCCCAAGGATCATCTTGGTGGCCTCCTCTGAACCCTCTCCAACAGCTCCATGTCCTTCTTGTGTTGGTGGTTCCAGGAGTGGACATTGTGCATCTCACTTTTATAGATACCACCTTAAATTTTCCCTGGTGAACCGAAGACACCTGGAGAAAATATTTTTGCTTTCCTCAAGCAAAGTTTTACCTTTCTTATGGCTCTTCTAGGCCCCACTATCTGTGGCCTCTGGCCACAAAGCATTAACAATTCACAGTTGTTCTTGAGCTAATTCAGGAAAGGGATTCTGTGCAGCTCTGGAGAGGTGCCCAGTTTGGGGCTCACGTGGATGCATTGATGTTTAAATAAAAGACTGAGCCCTCTGATGTTTTACGTAGCTGATGTCCCAGTGTCACACACACCTCTGATATGCTGCTGAAGTTGCCACATGCTGGTGACCAGCAGATGAGAGGTAATTTAATTTTGTCT